GATGCCTTTTATTTCTTCTTCTTATCTAATTGCATTGGCTAATACTTCCAGGACTATGTTGAAGAGGAGTGGTGAGAGTGGGCATCCCTGTCTTGTTCCTGTTTTTAGGGGAAATGGTGTTAGTTTTTGTCCATTGAGTATGATGTTGGCTGTGGGTTTGTCATATATGGCTTTTATTATGTTGAGGTATGATCCTTCTATTCCCACCTTGCTGAGAGTTTTTATCAAAAATGGGTGTTGGATTTTGTCAAATGCTTTTTCTGCATCAATTGATATGACCATGTGGTTTTTTTCTTTCAATTTGTTTATGTGATGTATTACGTTTATTGATTTACGGATGTTGTACCATCCTTGCATTCCTGGGATAAATCCTACTTGGTCATGGTGTATGATCTTTCTGATGTACTGCTGGATCTGATTTGCTAAGATTTTGTTGAGGATTTTGGCATCTATGTTCATGAGGGATATTGGCCTGTAATTCTCTTTCATTGTGTTGTCTTTACCTGGTTTTGGTATTAGGGTGATGCTGGCTTCATAGAATGAGCTTGGAAGTGTTCCTTCCTCTTGAATTTTTTGTAGTAGTCTGAGGAGGGTAGGTTTTAGTTCTTCCTTGAATGTTTGGTAAAACTCCCCTGTGAAGCCGTCTGGTCCTGGGCTTTTGTTTGCTGGAAGCTTTTTGATGACTGCTTCAATTTCTTCCATAGTTATTGGCCTATTGAGATTTTTAGATTCTTCCTGATTGAGTTTTGGATGGTTGTATTTTTCTAGGAATTTGTCCATTTCCTCCAGGTTGTCTAGTTTGTTGGAGTAGAGTTGTTCATAGTATTTTTTTTTTTTTTGGATTTTAAGAAATAAACAATACACTTTTATTTATTCAACAACTATTGGTCATTGGAAACCTGTCAGCCACTTTCTAGGGCACATTCCCGGGATTGTGGGCTTCATCCCCAGTGGGGGGCATGCAGGAGGCAGCTGATCAATGACTCTTTCTCGTCATTGATGTTTCTCTCTCTCCCTCTCCCTTCCTCCCTGAAATCAATAAAAATATAAAACAAATAAAATAAAATAAAATAAAAATATCTACACACACACATTAAAGGGAGGAAGCTCCGGGCGTGGAGGCCCCGGACGTGGTGTCCCAGGGCGTGGAGGCCCCAGACACGGAGGCCTTCCTCTGGTGCATCTGCAGGTGGCGGTGGTAGATGGAGGACTGGCAGTAGGTTCTCCCGCACTGAGAGCACACGTAGGGCTTGGCGCCCGTGTGGATGCGCTCTTGCGCCCGCAGGTTGGTCCGGTGGCTGAAGGCCCAGTCGCAGTGGCGGCAGCGGAAGGGCCTTTCCTCCGCGTGGATCAGCTCGTGCACGCGCAGGTCCGAGGCCTGGAAGAAGCCTTTGCCGCACGTGGCGCAAACGAAGGGCTGCTCGTTGTTGTGTCTCCTCTGGTGCAGCTGGAACTGAGAGAGATACCCGAAGACCCGGGGACACCGGTCGCACCAGTACAGCTTCCCGGCGCCCCCCGCCTCCCGGGGCGCCTCCTCTCGGGGAGGCTCTTCCTGGGCAGTGGGGGCGCCCGGACTTGCCGAACCGGAGCTGCGTGGACTCTCCCCGGACACCTCGCCCTCAGCGGGCCCCTGAGGGCTCTCTCCCTCCAGGATGAGCAGGGAGGGGGGTTGATGGTCTGGACTGGAAAGGTTGCCGCCATCTTCATCTGCTTCTCCTGGTGCTGTTGGTCGGGGTGTCTCTGGGGGAGTCTGGGAGGGTGTCCCCGGGGTGAGCGCCGTGGGGGCTGCTGCTGAGCGCTGCTCCTGGAAGCGGGCCAGGACCTATCCTACGGGCATGTTCTCCGAGAACAGGGCTTCCTGCCCCTGCATGCTGACATGGACCATGCTGGGGGGCCTCAGGCCTCCATCCCCCAGGTGCTCCATGAACGCCTCCATGTCTCTGCCACTCGACTCCCACTTCTCCTGCCACGCGGCCCTCTCGCTGCTGGGCCTGTTGAGCAGGAACTGCTCCACTGACAGATGGGAAATCATCTCCTGCTTACTGTGCGTGTCTGGCTGCAGCCACAGCAGAAAGACCAAAAGATGCCCTGCAGCTTCCGCCTCCCATGCCCGTGGCTGCTGTTGTTCAATGAGATGAGCCCAGGGCTGGGGAAGCTGACCTCCTCCGCCTCCTCTTCCTCCTGGTTGACAGGTCCTCCACGAGATCTAAGCTTGAAGTTTCCTGCCCGGGGACCGCTCCTGCCTGGTTCATCTTGAGATGCCATTCTCCTCACGGACACAGACGTTCACGCAGGGTGATCCTGGCCCAACGCTGAGCTGCTGTGGGGCTTGGCCGTCAGGGCTGGTGCCTCTGATGTGTTTCCAAAGGCTCCTGCCTTTTATACGGCCCGGGGTCGGCAATGAGATTAAAGCCTGTGATCGGATAAACTCAGCCTGTGAGGAGTGTCTGGTGGCATCTAGGCCTCCAGGCTCCAGCTCTAACACCTGGTCTACACCCCCTGGGCAGGAGCGAGGGGCCATCCTCACACACACTCCTTGTCTGCAGGGGCATGGGACCTTCTCACTAGGGGGATGAAAGGTGAGCATCGTCTCACGGACATTCTGGTCAGGGTTGGTCATAAGGGAGTCTCCCACAGATATGGAGAGAGAGAGAGGAGAGAGAGAGAGAGAGAGAGAGAGAGAGAGAGAGAGCAGATAGACTTCAGAGAGGAAGGGAGAGAAAGAGAGAGATAGAGTGGGAGAGGGATGGAGGGGAGAGGGAGAGAAACATCAGCCATGAGAGAGAATCATCCATTGGCTGCCTCCTGCAGGCCCCCACTGGGATTCGAACCCTGACCTCCTGGCTCAGCCACTGAGCCATAGAGGCCAGGCTCCTACTAACTCCCTAATCTTCCCAGATTTGTCAATCAGATTTGTGTAGAACAGGAACATTTTTCTCCTTCATTGTATTTTTTAACAATCATTTGTATTTCTGTGGGGTCTGTTGTTATTTCACCTCTGTCATTTCTGATTTTGTTTATTTGGGTCCTCTCTCTTTGCTTCTTGGTGAGCCTGGCTAGAGGTTCATCAATCTTGTTTATCCTTTCAAAGAACCAGCTCTTGGTTT